GGTGCATGCGACTCTGAATGACATTGCAAAACCACGTAAAAATGCAGCAGCTACAGATGGTTCAAATTTGAATGCTACTGTTGCATTGATCTCTCATGCTGATAATTTCCCTTCAGTTACTAGACAGCTTGATACAAGGCGGATTCAGTCTAATTCTCAGCAAATATTAGGTGAAAAACTAGTAGCCTTTGTTGGTATTCCTGATGGTGTGAAGGCTAGCAAAACAAACGTGGAACTACTAGGTTCAAATTTGGAGGAAGCTGGTACATCAAGGGCAGTTGCTGATCGGGCTACTGCTGGGGTTATTAAAACTACTGCTTCACCTAGCAAAAACAATATTTCAGTTCATAAAACAAAGACGAGTGAAACAAACAATGTTACTGTTTCGAACTCATTTGAGGTTTTGATGAATGAACAAGATCTGGAAGATGTTTGGAAGGAAGGGCAGCAGGTTCAACATGAGACAAATATAAAACCCAGGCAATCATCAGCCACTAGAAAACAACAGCAACAATCAATTCCGAGTTCCAACAGTGGGAAACCAGTTCAAGGCAGTGGTAATGTGACGAAAGACAGGGTGTTCGACGAAGTGACTCTAAAAAATGAATTGGCAGAAATTTTGGGTGTTACGAAGTGACTCTAAAACCAAATTGGGAACTGAACTAACAAGCAACCAAGCTAATAGTTCCAATGTGCCTATGTTGCATTTTTCCAATCATCATGTAGAGCGAATCATCAAAAATGCCCAAAATGAAATGATGATGAATTCTACTTTGGTTAAACAACCTTTGGTCACGCTGAATACTTCCGTATTTGATGTCCCATCTCAATCAGTGGAGTCGTTTGGGGATTTTGAAGGTGAATCTGGGCAGATCATGTTGTCAACGGGGAATAATAACGAGGTGATACAGTCAAATCTGAGGTTGATGGCTATCAAATCCAAGCTTGGGCAAGAGCAGCGTGAGGATGACGATGAAGAGGATTAGGGCGATGGTTTCGCTGGTTATTCATCAGAAGACGCTGATAAAGAGGTTAATCATGATAGTGCAGGGAAAGAGATTGATTCAATGGCCATGAAAAAACATGGTCAAGTACGAGCAGCAAGTGCCAAGAGTAATCTGAACCTCAATGCTCCTGCTTTTGTTCCCAGAAGTTATTCAAATTCTGGTATGCAAAATGCAGCAACAGGATCACCTTCAGTTACTGTGCAGCAGCAGCAAATTGATCCCAATTCCTCAAATACTAATCCTACAGGTGATCGAACTACAATAGTACCACCAAAAAATGGGCAGCTTCAAGGTGTGATAACCAGTACATATGCAACACCACCTACAACGAAGGTTAGTACAGCATCTAGTTCTAAAGGTGATCGAGAAGTCACAGCAGTGCAATTGGGACAGAATCAAATTGTTACAACTGTCCCAGTTATTTCAGAGGAGGAGAGAAAGCTTTTGGATGCAATTGGGAGTTCTACTTCGTTAAATCCTGTAAATCTAAATGCATATAGCACTGGACCTGTGAGTAAGAGCAGGAATAAAATGCAAAAAACTGATCAACATCAAAGCAAGGCAATGGTGACAAATACAAAGGGACAATCTGCATTGGTGACACTAGACATCGTCCAAAATGCTCCACAATCTGTGAATGTGGGGAGGGAAATTTTTGAAGAAGGAGAGGAAGATGCAATGATACAACAATGCAGGGCAGCAAGAAAAGGGGATCTATCACCAATGCATAGTGGAAAAAGTTGCAAATCTCATACAAGGAAAAATAGTTGGGATGACAAGGTTAGTGATTTTTTAAATGTTAGGCGACCTCCAATGAGAGTTGCCAAACAAAAGAAGGCCGCCTCAACTGCATCTACAAAGTCCAATCGTTCAAAAAAGAAATCATGAATTTTGAATACATCTTGAAGAATTGGGGTTGTGATGAAAAAGAATTACAAATTGAAGAAATTACAAGTTCGGACAAAAAAGGACAACATTTTAATTCCTTCATCATTTTATTCTACCATTATGTTAGTATACTCATTTGTAATATCATCACAGAGTATGTTATAAACTCTGTGATGATCATTAAATATTTGGTACTTTCCAGTTCTTTCTTTTTACATGCTTGTTAGTAAGTGAGGCTTTTTATTTGCCTCAATAGGATTAGTAAGGTAAGGTTTAGCCCGGTTTGTGTTGCCTTGTTCCTATGCCTTTGGAAAATATCCACACGGCTATGAGATTATATGCCCTCGTGAGACGTTGCCGACAGCTACACCATGAATCCTCTACATGAGGCTGTCATCATAAGGCAGTGTGAGGCGCAGAGGAGTGATTATATAGCCAAGGCATATGGGTAACAATTCCGGTGCTATTGTCCCCTTATTTGTACTTTTCCTAATTGTTGTATTTTTCTTTTCTTTTATTAATAAAAAACTAGCCCTAGGCGCTTGCCTAGTGGATTGCCAAAAAAAAAAAAAAAAATCAAATGACTGATAATTTAATGAGGAACATGGAGGACTCATGGCTTACCTTAGTTTTAAGAAGTTGATAAAATAGAAGTCAAGCTGTATTGGAGAATGTAAATGTGGGTTAGCTGTTAAGTTTTGTGATCTTGGGGGACACAGAACAGGGTGTGTAGTTGACTTCACATAGTCTGGTTGATCTAAAACTACAATTTTTGAAATTTCGTTTTCATAAAGGAGTCAAGAAATTAGAAATGGCTACCGGAAAACAAGTGCAGCCCCTTGACCGACTTCCCCAAGAAAAATGTTTGGGATGCAAATGTGAAAACAGTTCTGTGTTAGTGTTGTAAATTATTACATTAGATCTGGCCTTTTGACAAGCTCTAAATTTTGCGTTGCAGATTGGAGATTATCCAGAAAAAGACCCCTTTGAGGAAGAGGAAATTTAAATTTCAAGAAATCGCCAGTCTGCTGCTCCGTTTGCTTTGCTTGATCTTTTAATAGATTGGAAATGCTGGTTTTAAATATACAATTGAGCAGAAAAGATGAGCAGGCTTACCTAATTGAAAGTCACGGTAATACTCAGAAAATTTTCACGTCGATGACGAAACCTGAGTGAGTTATAACATTTGCTTGGCAGTTGTATACCAATTGCTATTGTGATTGTGAATGTGTTCTAACTGTTGATCATAAGTACAAATCGGTTGGCAAGTTTCAGAGATGTTTATTTCAGTGGACAGAAGCTAGTGATGGGGTGACATAGCAACCTAAGTGAAATATATCATATAGGATAGCCTCTTTTTTAAACTTCATCTTTTGGAGAACATTCTCCTTAGCACTTGTATCAATATATTCATCCCTTTCAAATCATTTACTGCAAAGTGTCCTACTGTCTTTAACATTTGTGTGGTTTCAGATAGGAACTAAAGCTAACTTTCAGCCTCTCCAAGAGGGTGCAAGTCTGCAAGATTAGGGAATGGAATGACTTGAATGCAAGAACATGTGACATTGGCTGTCCCAGTGTATACTTATCTATCGTAGAGGTTATCTACCTACAAGTAATGTTGAAGAACTGAAAGAAACAAGAAATCAGAGTCTCAAATAATGATAAATGTAAATATGCTGCAATTGTGACTTATTACAAAAATCTGAAGAGAAAAAAGCCGTAGTGCGTTTCCAGCAACCAAAATTTGCTTGAAACCGTCGAGGAGACGCGGCTCCCTAGAGGAACAAAAGCTGGCTTAGGAGTCTTTTTTAACCCATCGTTGGAAGTGCTGCTCACTGCATAGCATAGGTGTAATTATCTGCCTAACTAACCACATTAGAGGCCCTTGGGTAGTGCATTTAGAAGCCATCAGTCATCTCTGCGGAAAAACAAGGGAGTTTATTCAAACAGTTAAGACCACTATCAAAAGGGGAAGAAAAGACAACTGCGTTTCAACAATGCAAACTAAGTCATCTCTTCCTTCACAAACTGGAATTATAGCCATGGAAGCTACAGAATGAAACATAACAGAAATATGTATACCAGAGAAATGCTCAGGGTCAAGAGAAGGACATGCGTTTCCCGTAATCCTTCGCAAGACACTTTCTTTTCTTTTTGCTAATTCTTCTATTGTTGGTAGAAGATTGAAGCATATCATCAGAGGGTAGCTGTAACATCAACCATCCACTTACCAAGTTACCAATGTATCACTACTAGCTGCTGATTTAATCACGTTATGATGAATGATTACAGAAAAGGCATCACCAGGCTGTCATACAACTAATCACACAAGTAATACATATACAATATCTACAGTTTCTGTTATCATCATTGGAAAGAAAAATCTTTCTTTCTACTCACAACATGACAGTAACAGCATATACTAAGCGCAAAGGCATCACTCACGCCCTTGTACGAAGCCAACCAAGGGCAGGTGCTTCATAGTTAAGCCCTGACAACAGCCATGTAACAGAATGTGACACGTCATATAACAGGCATGTAACCCATCCCAAACTGGCGAAATCTTGATTTTCACGACTTAAGATTCATCATCATCTTGCAATAGTATTTCATAAATATCAGTCCTCAAATTGAGTTCTTTATCCCGCATTACTTCCTGGAGATCCGACAACTCTTTTGCTGTAAGCACAGAAGCTAACTTGATGAAACCATCAAGCCAGAGCCTCTTTGACCTGTGAAAATGTAGAGCAACAGTAATGAGGTTATTACAAAGCACAGCAATAAAAATTACCTGATTGGTGTTAAAATGAATACACTGCAATCTTTCAGCGTTGCAAACTACAGTTTTAAGGTTAGGTCAATGCTAAAGAAATATTAAAATAAGAGAGTAAGAAAACCCTACAACTGAGCGACATGTGTGTTATGGTAAGCAAGGAGACAACTTGGGAAATGTAGGAATTGACACCATAGTGCTAGAGGGACAAAAATGGTAGGCCATCCATGGGAAACAAAAAGTTATACAATAAATCCATGACTCGATAGAAGTTGCACCAAAGCTACAAGATACGAGTAAACAGAGGCTCACTCCCTCAAGGGCATTTAACTGCTGAAGTGAAATGGGAGGCTCTAATACAAAGTACATGGATATTGTCCAACAGTTGGAAGAGGGGAATGACTAGAAATAAAGAGTTTGATTTCCCTTCCTCTCCCCGTGAACCCGACTCTAGTAACAATTTCCTCTTAGTCTTTTTCTTTTTTTGTTTGTTTTAATAATATTATGTCGAGTTCTTTCCTTCTTGGCCTCTTAAAGTATGAAATTCCTTTTTATCCTGAATCATTTCACTGTTACAGCATATCATGAATAATATACTCACCACGGGCAAGCATGGATGGCCCGAAAAAAAGCTCTTCTAGCTGCAGAAGGGTTGCATGCTATATCACTTTCATAGGCAATATACGAGCGCCAGATTAAAACTGAGTTACGTAGCTTCTCATTCTCCAATGCTCTCTCAAAAAGTCTGCGTATTCTATGCTCTGTACCACCTTTGCTCATGTCGAATGATAATGCAAAGAGCCAAGCAACAAGCGATGGTTTCCTGGAAGTTTAAGCAAGGGACACAAGAAAGAGTGAGAATAAATCTTTGAATCCAGTAGATGCAAAACAATATAAACACAGCTTTAAACAGCTACAAGTTTAGGTATGTATGCTTTCTGCATCTTCTTTCAAAAGGATAGATTTCAAATACAAACCAAGAAAGATTATAATACCGTCAAAAAAGGCGTCATCCTAACTTTTCTTGTTCGTGTTTTATTTTCATTTTTGAATTTACTGATTTAAGGAGGACGGAAATTAGATCTAATTGTCCATTATAAGGCTCTCCGACATGAAAGAGGCGGAACTCTTGACGTTGGAGACCTTCTATAATACATGCTTGACACAGCTTTTCATTCCAAAAGCCTGCCACAAACAGAGCCCTTAGAGAAAGATCTTTTAAGAAGTACTCAGATAGAAAAATGCACGTATAAACATGCATTTGAAAGTCAGATTAAATACTTTTAAGAAGCACTCAGATAGAAAAACGCATGTATAAACATGCATTTGAAAGTAAAGATTCGCAAACTTAGCTGCTTGAGAAGTCGTACAAAAAATAAGAGAACTAACATTGACTGACTACTGACATAGAATTGGGGGAAAAGTTAAGAGGGCCATACTTTTGGAAATTTTCGTCAAAGATCCACCGCAGCTTATTGGGTGACACATAGAGATGGCCAATTTCAACTAAAGCATTGTAAACATTTGGACTGCATGGATATATATTCAGTCCTTTCACCATAGATTCCCAAAATTTTGACAGCTTCATTTCTTGATGATGTCTGCAAAGCATCCTCATGTAAAAGTTGAACAAATGCTCCAGATGACTACTGTTCCGCCTCCTTTCTACAGCAAGGTCATTGCAGTAACCATCAGTAAGATGAAATATTCCATCCGGAAGAGATGTGTGAGATTCAAGACAATGATAAAGCACATAGATTATCAATTAGTAACACAACTTCTTAAAAAAAAAAAATAATAACATACTCCTGTTTCTCTCTTTTAATTCTTGGCCGTGAGGGCGTCGAGGTGAGGATTCCAAACTACAGAATAAGTTATAACTAGAGAAAGGTATGCCCAACAAGGATAACTTAATCTTAACGTAGCTTGGAGGATTTACACGTACTGTCAACACAACTTTTAGGTCTAGCAATATTTACAAATAAATGCAGGAACAATACAGATATGCCTCCCCTCTCATCAACTATCTAAACTCTACTTACATGGACGTCTACAACATATAAAGTATATTTTCTACACCTGAATTGAACGTAAGTATTAGTAGAATTTCATCGCATTGAATATAGTCCTACTCTATTGAAACTAACTCTGAACACCGAATAGTGGACTTGTATCCAACTAGCAGCTATACTGAAGACCTCTTTTTGATAAAGTAATACGTTTTTGTTAATGATGCTTGTATACAAGAAGTATACCAAAATGTAGAAACCTACACAAAGATATGGCTTTCTCCAAACAACACCCAATCTTCTATACATAAAGGAACCTAATCGGTACACCAAAAAGAAAAAAGAGATAAGAGGCTACTCCTCAAATGTACAAAATCAATCTCTACACCTTCAAACACTCTTATAAAGCAAAACCCAACGAGAGAATTAGTTTGATTCCAGACGCATATTACACCAGTATTCAGATGTCTAATTAATATATAAATTCCGTGATCACGGTCTGAAAAGAAAATAACCCCATTGATTCAAATAGCATATTAACAAAATCAAAATTTATCTTTTCATTGGTTTCAGCTTCTTTTTCAGAAACACATATCAGCAAGTTACATTAGATGAAAATGTTACTAGTTGCATTGATTAGGAAAAACATTATCCAAAAGAGAAATCAAAATTCTCATGGAATAGTAAGATGANCTCCCTCCCCCACCCCCCACCACCCCCAAAAAAAAAGGACAAAAGAAAACGAGCATCCAGTTTAAACAATTATATAGACATATTTTCACATAAAATTCATAACATTCAACAGGAAAAACAATAAGAAATCAAGAGATTGGAATGCCGTGAAGGTCTAACTATGATATCCATATCCCCCTTGATTAATCTCCGACGGGATTAAAAGGCTTTGCTTCAACATAATGAAATGTTTTCTAAGTTAGGGACAAGTCCTCTGCCCCATATTTGCTGTCTAGTTCATTAACTCTCTTTCTCATTAAAATACCAATTACAACGGTATGTATATAATAATAACAATAATATGTGATATGACATGATAAAGGCACATCAATTGTTCACCAATTAATACTCCTCATGAAAGAAAGGAAACGGAAAGCAATATAGTAAAATAAAATGGAGCATGGAGATATAGCATCAGCAAGAATGTCGTTTACCCTTAACGCAGTTTACGTTTATCCTTAGCATCACGATATTCTTTAGGTAAGACCATTTGTGCTAGAAAAAATGAAATTGTGCAATAGCTTTAAAGAGCCAGAAACAAATGTATAACGAACAAAGCTTGGAAAAATCAAACTCAATGAGAGCATGCAAACAGGCGCAGCTAGCTACAATAGACCCAAAGGACATGAAATTCCATGTTTAAAAGGGAGAAAATGAGAGGCAGCGAAAAACTGATTACCAGGAAGCACCATCGTGAATGCTTGCTCCAAAATTTGAACACCTTCAGTCCATCCAATTGTTATCTCTTCAAATAAAGCAGCTGAACATATGAGAGTAACTGATTGATCATCAATTAAACCGCGTGTCCATGATGAACATAGCATATTCACTTGTTCTTTGAATCCTTGGCGTGCTTTCAGCTGTTGCAGGCTTGATGGTTTACATTTATATGGACTGTATTTCATACCGCTTCCCAAGCAAGATAAAATATGCATAGCACGTAAAGATGATTCCGCTGATACAGAGCCTCCACGAGTACCGTTTCCGAGCTCCACTTCAGCGTACCAGAGATATAGGAGAGATGCATTCGTCTGAAAATCCTACTTATTCAATAAAAAGTAACACTACAACATCAAATGACAAAAAAATTTATAGGTAGCGAAGAAAAATTAACCAACAAGAAATAAGACCAGTAATTGACTGAGATTGCTGGAGAAAATATTGGCTGGAAAACCTTATTTCATGGTGAAGGAAATGGTGATTTAGGCACTATCTAGAGAATAGAAGAGGCCTCTTATAAATCACAGGGCCTGTTGAAGCGGTACTGCTCTCCAATGAAGGGATACAGCACGCGAACATCATGTTAAACAGGAAATAGAATGTACCTGTGGAATTCCATCCATTGAAGACAATGCCATGTCGAAAATCTTTCTAGCATGGTCAGTATTTCCAAATACTGCTTCTCTTCGTGCATAAACTCCACAAAGCAATACATCCTGTGAGGAAAAAAAAGTAAAGACAAACAAGTGACTTTCAAGTTGAGCCATCAGAAGCATAAACCCAATGGAGGCATCAGAAGCACACAAAGTTTACAGCACAAATCCATTTGTGACGCAAACTTAATAAAAAAAAATCGTGATGAACAGGGACGAACGAAAAGTAAATGAACCAAAATGACAATCATGGGGAAGGGCAGGGCCCAAGTGAAGTGTACACCAATCATTTTCGAGGATACAAATCAATATCAAGTCTCTAACACCTATCACACTGCTACTGTCTCTAAGCACCTAATAGAGCAATGAGGTAAACTACAAAGTTGAGTTTTGATCAACAAATTATGCAGCAGCTGTAATCACATGAGATCCTGATCAATCTCCAACATATTCAATAAAGTTCAAAGGAATTGACAGAAGAGCATAAAAGGTGCACCTTATTTACTGTCAAGCTTTAAAGAAAGAAAACGAGCGAGAAAGAGAAAAGCTGACATCTCAGTAAAACAAACAAGCACCATTCTGATGAGGACTTGCAAAACCTCAATAACCTATTGTCACCAATGAGACCACTATTCGTGCATTGATGTTCTTACACAAAGATATCATGAAATTACATAACCAGGAGCGAGTTACCATTTCTTGATTGTTCAAATTTACCTCTTTGTTCAAATTTACCTCTATATTTATTTGCAAGCAATTATTTTATAAAAAGGTGGCGTGCAATATGAAAGATTAAAGACATGTACTCTACTATTTTAGAAAACAATGTGAATATACCACACACGTAGAATACTTGACCAACAAGATGAATAAAAGATGTACCTGACGGTTACTCTTCAAAAGGCTTTTTGCTAAAGTTCGACATGGTGTTACTGAACAACTAGAAGTATTCATCGCTGTATTTGATAGCTCCTCCGCAATAAGAACAGCTTCTTCCAAAATGTGATTTTGGGGAAATACAGTGCAACAAAGCAATGTAGCATTTCGAACAAATTCCATCATGCTAGTCCTCATAGAGATATCATCGGAGCTACTAAAAACTTGCTCCAAACTTGTATCAATTTGGTTCCTTCCTTTTTTGGTTAAAACATCGTGCACTCTTCTTAGTTCATCAAAGAGAGAGTCTGGCATTGCCTCCAAACTAAGGCTTTTTTCAGCCCAACTTGAACTGTTTGTACAAGTCCTGCAAGCATTAAAAGGAAGTAACTTACATACAGCTAAGTATATTACTCTTGTTTCCATTCCTTATATAGTTTACCAAGCACCTCCGAGTGGCTTCTGATCTCAGTTAACAGTGTCGATTGTCAAAGAGGAAGAACCATAGTAACACAGAGAACCAACATATCAAACCATATATTTTGACATGATTGAGAAACTAAAACACAAGTAATAATCTCTGAATCACAACTCACTCTCAGCAACTTGTAAATATTTACTTATCAAAAGAAAAAAAACAACCCACTCCTCAGCAACCAAGAAAAAGAAGACCTAATTGAATGTCACAAGGAAACATCTTTTAAATGCAGCAAGTTTTTTGTCGATCCTTCTCCTAGATCTTCTCTTGAATCTTTGATTTCATATTGCAGACAGCATTTTGGAAACGATTATTAGAATTTGTAGATTAAAAAGTTTGCAGTTCTCCATCTAGGTTCCCTTAACCTCTAAATGGAAGTCGATTATATCCAGAGACTTGCAAAGAGAGAGAGAGAGAGAGAAACTAATTGAATTAAGCCAAAAAAATTCAAAGAAATATCCAAAATCCTTTTTCTGCATATAATTTTAACATATTGACCCTTTCCCTTCTAAAGTGTCAAGGAAAAGCAGGGCAGATTCAGGGTTTTAACCAAAACAACATTCTTTATATTCTTAGGCAAAGCACTAACTAGCCAATGCTAGATGCGAATATGTAGAACAGTCAACACAAATAATTTAACAATTTAATATCATTCAAGGTGGAAAAAAGTATCAGGACATAAAAAGGATGATCCTAGCTAGTTGAGCAAAAGTGCCGAAACTTTAGGGCTTTAGGCTCACCAAGTAATAGCAAGCTCAGGCGCTTTCTACAGGAACCAAGCTGAACCTAGATAGCATTATCCAACCCCTACTTGTAAATGTGACAGGATGACTTGGTTCTCAGTTCTCAGAGTTAAAAAGTTCATAACTTTAGCATATGAGATCCTTCCCAAGTATGCTAGAAAAAGACCACCCTTTTCTATCCAGATACATTCACACAGTAATAAGATCCTCAAGCATGAAACTCTAATGCGTGACATGGACCTCTGCGTTTCATTTATTGGAGCAATATGACATGTTTAACTCTATTATCTAGTAAAATCAATGTGAGCACTAGTGAAATCAATCTAATATTCAAGTTAAGAAGACGAACCATTGAGCCATCCTCCCGCCATAAAAATCAATGAACTGCGATACCATGGAAAAACGTGCTTCTTCAGAACTTATCGAGAACAGGTAGTCACTCACGTCTTCATATGCTATTACTCTCAAAAGCTGTTCCTCATCTGGAGCAGCAGCAGGATCCTCGCTATGAGAACTCCCAGCTGTTTCACAAAAATACGCAAGAAATTAATTGTCTACCAGATAACAGATGCAAAGAGAAGAAGAGAAAAAGGAGGCAGGAAGCAACTCATCGCTTGGAAACTACAGGCAGTACACTGACACTTAGAACAGTTAGTTCAAAATCTTTACAAGGAAAATAATAACAAGCTATTATCACACTCCATTTGCAAACGCAAAACATTCTTAAGCATAAAATTAGCCCCAAAATCAAAATAATAGATATTCATAGTCATGGCAATGGATAGACATAACTGGGTGGAGTTAAGCATGATAGGTGAATGCTGCTAACAACACAGCGAAAATGAAAATGAAACGGGAGCTATTATTATAAGTACAGGGTGGAGAGCATGACACTGAATTTTATCCAGAAAATTACTATTGTTCATGACTCAGTCACACGATAAATAATTTTGGACTGCCGCTTTATTGGCATGTCTACTGTCATTTAGCCTTTGGAGACAGTAAAAAGAGATAGAATTGCCAAGCTTTTTGAAGAAAAGAGATAGAGAAGCTAAGCCATTGAAACAGAAATTGACCCTAAGTGTTCAGAAGTGAACAGTTCTTTTATTGGGAGTGAAAAGTAAAAGGTCCATGAAGTGACAAAGAGAGTATTTAGTACAGAGAATGTTTCAGCTTTCCACTCTAGCGAGTGAACCTTCCAGAGAACAGTTCTCCCTTGCACAAAGATCAACCTTCCTTTTTTTTTCTTGGGGATGCCAGCCTTGTTATCCCTCTGTTCAGTCTATATCCTAATTTGTATATTTTTTCCCTGATTTAGTTAGTGATGGCCTCTCTTCAAGCAATTCCTTCACTTGATATTTCTTCCCAAAAAAGTGTAATTAAACTTAATAAGGAAAGGAAAGATCAGTGGAATGAAAAGGGATGGGATAAAGAGGATTACTTTTAGCATGGACTGGCATCCACTCGCTTGAGTCTCTTGCTACCTCTTCTTCTGACCACCTAGTCCAAGTTCGTGTGTCTTTAATCTCACCATTAGCTTCAGTAGCAGCATCAATCCCAAGCATTTTCAGCAAAGCTTCAGTATCATCTGTCTGCTCATCATCTTTTGTTTCAGCTAATTCGTCAAGAGCACCATCTGTCTCTGTTATATTTTCTATAGCGTCATTATTTTCTTTACTTTTAGATAACGGTTCTGACCAACCAGTCCAACCACCTTTTTCAGAATCATGTGAAGGCTCCTCCCTCATAGTTTGCCTCAGCTCTTCCTCTTTCTCCAGCCACTTTGACCAGCCGAGTGCACCATCTTCCCCAGCCCTAGCACCATTACTGTTCCAAAAATGCTCAAATAGTCTTTGCTTACTTTGCTCACTAAGAAGTAAAGAAGGGCAGAACAAGCTGTATTCAATCTCCGCCTGGAACATGGCAGTAGCCAACTCTCTGTACCCAGCCTGCCACTCAAACCGACATAGACTGAGAAATATATCAACCAGACCATGTTCAAGTCTTACAATAGCGGGATCCATAGAAGGCGAATTAGCACTTCCAGAAACCTGTATCCAACAAATACATCTCCATCAGCAAATGGAGTGACGGAAAAGATCAAGATGAATTTAGTAGTCAGTAACTCTAAACTCTTGCACCACAGCATGTGCTAACCCTGTAAGATTTCACATACATAAAATCAAAGAGAATATACTGAACTATTTAAAGGATTACTTCCTATTAGTTTGATCTAAGTTTTCAAAATTGCTTTACAATTAATTTCTAGATATAACACAGTGGAAACATACAGTACTTAATGCTCATGAGATCCATGCAAAATTTCATTTTTACAAGGTAGTGCTGCACCTACAGTAAATTTTTATCTTTAAGTTGTGAATGAATCCAATATTCTGGATATACATGGACACTAATATGTATAAATTTAGTAATGATCATACAGTTTGACCCTTGAGCCATTCAAAGGCCTCACTTAGCAACTTCTTATTTGGAAATCTTTCACTATTATCCTACTTCAGCAACCAAATAAGGACATTCTAGGATATGCACACACCAATATTTGTTGATCTGGTCCTCGCCAAGTTCATGCTGGAAGCTACTACCCACCCTACCCTTCCCCAACAACTTCAAGGATTTATCCTTCATAAACACTTGGATACAGTCTCTCTCCCAAGAGTCCAGAGAAGGTGCTCTTAGGACAAATGCACTTTCAAGGATCTACGGCAAGCAGTAGGATTTTACTATGCAGTTTCTCATCTATTTGACGGTTAATGATACCATCAGTTTTGACCCAGAAGGGCACGATCATCTTTATCATTTACCTTGTATAAGATGATAAGGACTTTATCAGAAGCCACACAAGCACCCAACACAAAGATCAAATTTTCAGAACAGCAAGAAAACTGAAAGTCTGTATGCTCAAATTAATAAATATCTTATGCCAAAAAAAAAAAAATAAATAAATAAAGAGCATAATGTGTCAAAGGTGAGGACCTGCCTATGTTGCTTGGACCATGCACCAGATAAAGCTTGGATTGCATTTGCATACATTTTTCTCATTTCAGAAACCTTAAACCTTGAAAAGTCGCCCTGAACAACCCGCAAAAATTCTCTCCACAATGTGTAACTACCTGAGTTCTGGAGAAGTATCTTCTCCCATCGACTAATCAGGTCATCAATGCTATCTCTGCTCTGATAAGCATTCATAAGAGAGAGAAGCAGGTCTTCGCTGTCAGGGTTCAGCTCAGTAGCCTTCTCCAGAATACTGATCTTCTTTTCAAGTGTTTGCAAACGGGCACCTTTCTGTGGTTGCATACTTGCTACCTTATCTTGGAACTGCGCAAAAGCCAACCAAATTTGCGCGTCATGTGGTCGTTCCCTTGTCATTTTGTTGAACTCCTTTGTTTTGCGAAAGACCTCATCCTCCCAAGATTCCTCAACCACTGCATTACCTGAAACAGTATCTCCTCTGATTCCTTCATCTGACTTAACTTCATCTGGCAATGAAATGAAATCAGCTGGCATGCTCATCATGGGCTTGAGAGGAGCCAAAAATCTTAGACGTTTCAAGTTCTTATGGTGCTCAATTGCAGCGTATGTTGCAGACCAATAGCGACCTCCAGACCTTAGTTTATTGTCCAGCGCATCAATATCACTTTCTCTTTCAAAAGTTCTCTTATCATTCAGCCTATAGTAATTGAGCTCAGAGTTTTTCCTCGAATTATGAAGCTTGTAACGAGCAACATCCATTCTACAGTGCAGCAGAAAATATTCTACAGTTAGTAAAGTGAAGTGAATCAAACTAAGACCTAAAACAAATTAGGTGTTTCAAATGCACCTTTTTGTGTAGAACAAAATTAAAAATCCTTTTCCTCAATGATGAAATCAAGTATGATTCTACGAAAGCTCAAAAAATCAATTACATAAAATCAGTTTATTCCTTCATACATTATTTACCCTCACCATAATAGAAAAGAAAGCACGAGTTCACCATGTCCATATGTAACTCATAAAATCATTGTGCATGCCCCTATGATAACAAATGGACACTAATCTCATTAACTCTATTTTACTACACACAAAAAAGAAATCATAACTGATCCGTGTTTGAGGCGTAGTTGATTGATTGATGGACTTTGCTGCAAATACGAATAGTTTAACAAAAAAAAAATTGCACTGCAATGATTTTTCAGATGACAATTCCACTGTGTTAACTGGTTGAATCGTCATTCTAACATTTTCAAATTGCTCCCACTGTGGTAGATGTTGAGAAGAAATCTCACTTTATGTTTTACGATTGCATTGCCCATAGTGAACCAATAACTGCTAAATCCACATATAAGTTCCAATTATGTGTAGTTTTAAATTCTCTTGACAGCTAACAAATCAAAGTACAGTAAAATTAGAAAAATTAAGCAAGTTGCGTCACGACTCTTTCTGATTACTTGTTCTACGTAGCTTAAAAGAATGCATAGAAAAGCAGCATTCGCACCTGTAGAGAGTACCAAAAGCTAAATTGTCTCGATCGCCACGAGAGTCAAAGTAATAGTCTTTATCATTAGCAGTAGCTGAAGAAGAAGCCCAAGTTCGAACATCACGTTTTCTAGAAGAAGAAAGTGCATAGTCATAATGTGGGCCCTCATCACTCAATCGCTGCCTTTTCTTTCTCCTCTTTTTCTTCTTCTTACTCTTTCTCTCATCATCATCAGAAGTAGACGAGTGGCCCCGCTCCGACGCGGACGAGTCCAGCAACTCATACCGTGCTCCCTCTTCCTTTTCTATGTCTTCTCCTTCTTCGTCTTCTAGATTCTCGGGGAACTGGATATTACCGTAGTTCGTTGAAACGGTGTTGTTTATAACGGAGATGTCGGTTGTGAAGCTGGAATTGCGAAGCCATTCAGGAACGGCGTCGTGTGAGGTGGAGGGATTGGGCGGTGCACATATCTGAGATTGGGGGAAAACGGGAAATAGCGATGAACTTTTTGATTCGATTTCTTCCATGGCGGACTCTGTTTCAATCTTCTTCTATAAACTACTAATAAACCCCGCGTATTTTCCAAGTCATAATGTCATATTACTGAAAATGTACCTATTAATAATAAATTGATTAAAATAATTGTTACAAAAAATCAAAATAAGATAGGTAGCTATATACTAGCAATTAGCATAAACCACAAGAGATATTAGTGTGCCAAAACGGGAGATCTATCAAATTATTCTTTAATTTTAAATAAAATTTCTTCTATAAGATTGTTAATATTATTCTATAATTAATGTAGACATTTAAAAAATTATTCTTTTTGTCTAATTGGGTATATTAAATAGCGTAATTTAAATTTTCAATTTACATTTCTAGCCCTTTCAATTCCCGTCCAGAGCGTGTTGTGATTTAATTAATTTGAAGTGGGTCTAACAAGTTAATCTTACATTACCTATTGTATCGCATTGTATTATTGTCACAAAATAATATTTGTTTTGATTGTTTATTTAAAATTGATTGTATTGTATTATTAAATTTATTGTTCTGGAACAATCAAAACCCCTATTTTATGAAACAACCGTTTTGGTATGGTGAGATTGTATCCTATTTTCTTTTTTAATTATGCTCTTATTTATTACTATAATTCTATTTTATCATTTACATTTTTTTTTATTTTAACTCCAAATCTCCAACCTATTGACATACTTTATTTTTTCCATCTTTTCTAGAGTTGGCTCGCCGTGTTCTTTTTATTCAAGTCTCCATTCGATTCTTTGTCTCTTTCCATCATTTTAATTTAATTTTTGTTGCTAATATTAGTTAACCTTTTTCTTCAGAGTTTTTTCTCTTGTTTCCAAGCTACCTAATTAATGATAAATTAGTAGAAAGATGTTTTCTCAAATTATTTTTATGTGTAATTCTTGATAAATTTTATTAAAATAATTGCGGGTATTTTAGCGAACTTATCAATTACAGTACAGTACGATACAGTCAAACCAAACAACAAAACGGTTATTTAACAACAGCAAACGATACAATCTATTCAAACGTTGTATCCATAAAACGATACAACACAATAGAATACAGTACAATACAATACATTATAAAATGATGAATAACAATGATCCAAACATGGCGTTACTATAGATAATCAGCTAGGTTGGCAATATGTCTTTTGATTTGGCACTTGGCACCTATGGTTAAACAGATACCTTTAGAAAAGATAGTGCTGCAAATCTTTCTGATAAGAGTGTACATGTTAGACCCTTAGAATATAAGTTTTTTTTTTGTCAACAAACGAATTTATATTAAATTAAAAGTGATAGTCAACCTAGAAGCAAAGTGTATGCTTTGCATATTGTTACAAAAAGAAGTGATATATGGACCATTATAATGATCCCTAGGTTGAGCTACAATATTATCGCCACTGTCATGTTCATGCATACCATAGGACATGTTGTTTGTTGATGTAGGCATTGTTACGTTTCTTGCGTAAGCACTACCCCTTTGGTCGTCTAGAAGTTGCTGATTCAAAAAGGTGGGTGGTTGTTGTAGAATGAGTGTTTGTTCCATTGGGGTTTATGTGGATCCACATTGTGCAAGTTTATCTGCGATGCGATTCTGCTCCCTGTATGTGTGCTTGATGTTTGGGTTACCCAATTGCCGGAGCAAGTACCTACATTCCCTTAGTATTGATGAGTAATGTAAACTATGATGGTTTAGCATCGAGATTACCTTTGTAGAATCCACGTTGATTTCTAATGGGATGAACTGATGATGACATGCTAATTGTAATCCTTGTAATAAGGCACATAGTTCCATATATGTAGAGTTTCTTGTTGGTCGTGTGCCCATGAATCCAAGTAATCAATGTCTCATATCATTTCAGAAAACTCTGCATATGCCATTTCTGGGTGGTTGGCCTTTAGAGGATCCGTCCGTATTTAATTTAATAGTACCCAATATAGGAGGGTACCATTTGATATACATGGGTGTGACTGTTGGTTTTTGTGATTGACTTTGAATAATAAAGTTATATTCAGCTCCTTGTAAAACTAATTGCTTAATTTTTGGAAACTAATTGCTTAATTTTTGGGGTGGGTGTTTGATGTTGGAAGATGAATCGATTGTGTAGGTTCCATATATGCCATGTTGTATATGGAATTAATAATCGTGAAGGTAGATTTAACGGCCGATTATTTATGGTAAGTAAAGTGTGGATGATTGAATAGGTTGTGTGTTTGGAATATCCATATAGTGTAGATTGTTTGCGAGACCTAGTTGAGTCCATATGCGGAGAGCATTTGGGCATTGGAACGAGAGGTAGTTACTTATTTCCTTGCTGTGTAAGCAAATTGAACAGATGTTCGAAGTTGTGATTTGTATCTTATAATGATGAGTGGCGGTTGGTAGCCTTTGGTGGAAAATTAACCACAGGAAAGGATGATTTTTGGAGGTAGATTTAATTTCCAAAGCCAAGCGTAGGGGTATTGGTTATGAGTGCCAGTTAATACGTTGTATAGAGATTTTATTGAGAAATATCCTGAAGATGTAAGGCCCCAAATTATTTGATCAACGGATTGGAAGTTAGCAAGTGTTGGAACATGAATTTTACGGATTTATGAAAGGGTTTGGATAGGTAGGTCAAAAGATAAATTAGTAGTATTGATCATATTACTTGTGATGTGTTGATTGACCTTGGAATCTTCTTCGTGGTTGGGTAATGGCCCTTCTATGACTTTCCTAAGTGTGATATTTGGTCCTATCCAAGGTTCATTCTAGAAGTTAATATGTTGGCCTGTAGTGATATGCCAGATAACTCCTTTTTGGCAAACTTCCAGCCTAATTGGATAGCTTTCCAGATGTTAGAGGTTTGGCTTTGGTGAGTTGATGTAGTAAATCTAGCTAGTAGTAGGGCGCCCATAATGAGCCAGAAAATTTAAAACGTCGTCATGCTAAGTTTCCTAGTAGGGCACTATTCTTGGTGTTCAAATTTTGAATGCCTAGGCCTCATTGACATTTTGGTTGTTGAACGAGTGACCACTTAATAAGGTGAATTTTCTTTTTGTATTGAGTAGTACCCCCAAAGAAAATTACGTTGATACCGGTTGATTTTGGATATGACATGTTGCGGGAGTTTAATGACTTGCATTACATGATTAGGGAGTGTTTAGCGTAGATTTAATGAAGGTAGTTCGCCTGCCATTGTAAGCATATTCACTTTTCACCTCGCCAATTTTGCTTTAAAGTTGTCTAGGATAAACTGAAAATCGAATTTTGTGGGTCTTTGTACAAATAAGGGGAAGCCCAAATATTTTCCAAACTAGACTCCTTCTTTCTTATTGAAGGAGGTTAGGACAAAAGATTTATCAGTTTGAGTTACATTTCTAGAGAAACAAATTTTTAACTTAATAAAATTAATGCTTTGTCCTGATTTTTGTGTGAATTAATTAAGAGTATCTATAATAAAGTGGACCTTGTAGTGGTTAACCTGGAAATTAATGTAATATCATCGGCAAACAGTAGGTGAGAAATTTCTAGGCCATTTCTTGAGATCGTTATGGCCTTCCATTTTTGGTAGTCAACTAAATTATGAATTTGTCGTGATAAACGTTCCATACATACATAAGATGAAAATGTAGGGAGATAAGGGGTCACATTGGCGAATGCCCTCTATGGGTGAGAAATATGGTGTCGGATGATCATATAGAATGGAAGAGGTGTTGATACATGACATAATTAGGTTTATGAATTGGCTTAGAAAATTAAAGAAGTGCAAAGTTTCTTTGATGAAACTCCATTTTATTTTATCGAAGGCTTTTTCTAGGTCGAGCTTGAGTAAGAAATTAGCATACTTACCCTTCTTTTTACGAAAGGAATTAAGGATTTCTTGGACTATTAAGGCATTATCCGAAGCTTGTCTTCCTTTTAAAAAAGCAGACTGCTCGGGGCTAATTATTATAATTATAATAGGCTTGAGTCTAGAAACTATTATTTTGATAATAATTATAGATAGTATCGCAAAGGCCAATTGGCCGGTATTGAGTAATGGATGATGGATGTTTAACCTTGGGGATAAGGCATATATAGGTCTTGTTAATTTGTGGTGGGATACGCTGATTAGTGAAAAAGTCATTACAGAAGTCTATCACTAAGCAGGCAATTTGGGGGTAGTAGGTTTGATAGAACAAGGGGTGTAGACCGTCTGGCCCTGGAGCTTTGAGTGATTAGAGAGAGTTTATGGCTTGGAAATTTCCTTTAGGGTAAGAGGGCGAGTCAGAGTGGTGTGATCCATGGAAGTCAGTATTCTATACGGAGATATATCATGAGACTTTCTGGATTGGGTTTGGGTGGTGGTGAATAAGTTTTGGTGGTAGTGATGTATCATATTATTGACTTGAGATTGTTCAAGAATCCAATTACCACCTAAATCTTTGAGAGTTGTTATAAGATTTCATCTCCTTTGTTGAAGAGTAGTGAGATGGTAAAAATTGGTGTTTGTATCGCCTTGTTGAAGCCAGTTGATACGCGATTTTAGTCGCCAAAAGTCTTCTTCAAACTAGAGTAAATTATTATAATTATTAATAAGATCGATTTCCAAATATTGGAGGAAGGGGCTTGTGGGGTAACTAGGGGAGGATTGGATACCAGCTATTCGGGCTAATAAATTCTTTTATTTTTTAAAAATGCTACCAAAAGTATTTTAGCTTCATTCTTGAACCTCTTCTGTGAAGTCTTCTATGGCCTGTAGTAGGCTCTTATTAGGAGTCCAATTATGGTTAATTAGGTTGGGAAAGTGTGGGTGTGTGGTCCAAATTGTTTCAAATCGGAATATTTTTTTTGGTGAAAAGTGTGTTTTAAGTTGATTAATAAGGGACAATGATCTGAGTGTGTTCGAGGTAAATGTTGTACATTTGCTTCTGGAAAAAAGTTAAGCCAGACATAATTGCAAACATACCTATCGAGTCATTCTAGTATTTTGTTTGCTAGGCAACATTTGTTGGTCCAGGTATAGCGACTGACTTTAAAACATAAGTCCAATAATTGGCAATGATTGAGCCATT